GTGGATGAAAGGAGCCATATGCCAACCTGACTAGCTCAGGGAAGGCCTGCATGGTGGTTGTACAAACTCAAAGACCTAAAATAACCACAAAAGATGGTCTGAAATTAAATATTTAATTGCAAACAGGTTATGGTGGGTAGTCATGTCCTGGGCCAGTATTTTCCCTGACAAAGATCAACTTAAATCTTTACTGAGCCCATTTGTCTTTTTGCCTCTAAGTCTTAGAGTCTAAGATAACATATCATGAAATGACAGGGTAACTTCTAACTTCCCTTTTTTCCGGACCCCTCAGGGCAAAACAAATGGCACCAGGTGGGAGGAGTTGGAAAATTCTGAGAGCGTTTGTAGGGCCTGAATGTGCATGACCTCCTAGAATATGAAAAGGGTTGCAGTAATGGGGGTCAACATTTCTCCCATATCTTTTCCCCCAAAACAGTCCCTCTATCCTTACCTTAGAGCAAGAAGCCAAAGGAGGAAAAGTTCTCGATGGTAATCCTTGCCCGGGGGTCTCCAGAGGAAGCTAATCGCTGGCCCCGGGTCACTCAGCCTGTCCTTAAACGGCCACGCCATGTGCACTGTCACCTGTGCTGTCCAGATGGGCACATGCAGCATGCTGTGCTCACAGCCCGCCGCCATTGCAGGTACGGAGGCTGTGACCACTATTAGTGGGAGGTGGCAGGATCCTACCCCCACATTGATCTCTCTTTTCCATAGGGATTTGTATCGCTGTGCCCGTGTCAGCTCCTGGGGAGATCTTTTACCCGTGACCACGCCTTCTGAGCTTCCTCCGTCCCCTGTTGAAGATGCCCCTGAGAGTTAACAAGGATGTGTAACAAGAGTTTTCTTGCATCGTGCCTGCCAAGGCTAAAGCCACCTGGTATCCAGGATGGGAGTGTAACGAAAAACACAGGTTTAATGCCTGCCGCAAGGAAAGCCAAACTCATGAGGCAGATGCAAAAGGAGAGGTTTTATTCTGGTGCTGCTCAACCTGGGAGAACGGTAGACTTCTATCTCAAAGACCATCCCCCCTTCCTGCTCAAGCTGTGGTTCTTACAGGAATAGGGAGAGACGGGCTTTTTATTTTTCTACCCAATTATTTTGCTAGCTTACAGCTCGCTGGGGCTCTGTCCATTCACATTTCTAGCTTTGGGCCCCGCTCAGGCCCTGTCCATTCATCTTCCTTGAGTCCAGTCCATTGGTCTTTTTAGCTTGCCAGGATCCAGAGCCTGCCCATTTATCTTTCCAGCCTTTGACGCGTTCAGTTTAAGACCCGCCCTCTGCGCCATTTTGGCCAATGAGGAGACTCCTCAGCGCTCCAACTGACTGTTCACGGTAACAGGAGCGCTGGTACTCCTATATATCTGCATTGGTTTGAGGTTTTAATAAGAATTATAACTTTTCAAAGAATGGGAATAAGTCTTCTGATTCTTAAAAGGTATAGAGGTCTGTCATCACGGCCTATCCAGTAACGAAGTGAGTCCTCAGAGATTCAATGCCTGTCTCCCCACAGAAACCTCGAGCTCAGCCCCTCCTGTAAGAATACTGCTGCTTCTCCCAGAGACCGGGACTTCCCAGGGAAGTAATGGGGTAGTGGGGAACGCCGCCCCCAGCACTCTGAGAACTGGCTCAACAGGTCTCAGGGTAGTTAGGCGGCCACCTGGATAGGTGACCAGCAGCTGCGTGGCCTCTGTTTCTCTCCCTCCTTCCCTTTTATCTCTCTCAGGGTTCATCAGCGCCCCAGAGTTTGCATCATGAATGTCCCTCAAGAAACTATCCCTTCAGGAGTGAGTCATCTATCTCAACAACGGTATGTCCAGGCAGAGTCTTTCATTTACTTGGTTCATTTCTGTGTTCCCCTAGGCCTTGCTGTTTCAGAGCTAGAGCAACTTTCTGTGTAATAAAACTCTCAGTCCTTCTCCCACAACGTATATCAGGAAGTAGGCACAGTCAGAAGTGGTAACAGTTTCAGTGTTGTAATACTAGAAATCTCAACTCCCACTAGACATTTCCATACCTGGAGCTATTTTTCTGGGGTTACAGGAAAGGGGAGTCCCCTCATCCACTAGTTCCCAGAGTGGCAGCAGCACCACTCCTTAGCCCCACCTCCTTCTTAACCCCGGTGGCCCCAAATCCCCTCTGAAAGGGTAAGGTTCAGGTATCAGCATAGCAGCCTATAAGACTTGCATTGGGGTGGGGAGGGTATGGAAGGCTTAGATCAAATGTCCTGAGTGAGGCAGGACCAGATTGCCCCCAACACAAAATACTGGGAAGTAGCACCATAGACTGTGCCATTTTGGATTAGACCAGCCCCAGGCATGAACTAAGTCCACAGCCCTTGGATTAGTCATGGAACTGAAGAGAAGACAGCACAGGGCTGTGCCTGGCAGGGAGTCTGGAGTTTCTGGTTTCCAAAATCAGAAGGCATGAGCCAAGGGAGGGGCCTCCATGTAGTGGGAGGGCAGGAAGATGCGGCAGGGCCCCAGTCAGCTATGCAAGGCTGTGCAATCAGGCAGCACAAAACAAAGAGAATCCAACAGCTTCCTGAGGCTCAGGAGTGGACACTACAGCTTTGACCACCTAAGGCACCTGCTCCAAAGCGTGTAACTCCGTTTGTCATTCTGAGGTCTTCTTATCCTGTACCCCAAGGATGGAGCCAGTATTAGAAGTAAAAATTGGCTGCCTCTTTGCGATGCTGGTTGTCACGCTGGTCTGTGGCCTTATTCCCATCTGCTTCAAATGTTTCCAGATTGAGACATTCAGAGGTATAGCCCTTCTGTATCTTTGCCCCCATAACCTGACTTCAATCCTGTCACCCTTCCCTGACACTTGCTCTGATTCTCTTGCCATCCCTATGCGTGGATGTTGAGTGTTCCTTGTTGCTTGTTAGTCTCCTTTGTCCATCTCCTCATTGCCAACTGCTTGTAACTCCTGCTTTTCATTAGGTCGTCACCGCCAAGTCCTCAGCCTCCTGGGCTGCGTTTCTGCCGGTATTTTCCTGGGAGCAGGTTTCATGCACATGACTGTTGAAGCCCTGGAGAATATTGAATTCGAGATCCGACAGATCCGAATGAAGGTGAGCAGCTGAGGTGTAGGGCTGAGAAGCCAGACGATGAGCAGAACCAAGGGGAGGAAGTGGGGACAGTGATAGAGCCAAGGACATGGGTGGAACAATAGAGACAATGACAGCTCTGTATTGTGTGGAATCATGACAACAGGTCAGATTAGACTGTAAGGAAAGCAGTGGAGCTGAAGGGACAGGGCAGGAAGCTGAGCTGCTCCATCCCTCATCTAATTTCTGCTTTTTTTCTCCCTAGAACAGTGGAGGAAATTCTTCTGAAGATGTTAATTCAGCTTATGTAAGTATCTCTCACACCCAAACTGGAGGGTGAGGAGAACCAGAGATTCTTCATACCCAGATCCTTTTGAGGAGAGGATGTGCGGAATACCAGGAATCCCTCTGCTCCTCAGCTCAGACACTGTAGGGA